TACTATGTGACCCTCTACTGAAAAAAGTCTGCCAACCCCTGTTCTAGGCTATACACTTTCATATTTCAATGCCACTAGGTAAATCAGTTTGCTTCTGTGTGTGAGTGTGGTAGCTTAGTTAACATCATGATTTTAGACTTGGACAAGCTGATATCTCAGTAAACAAATAGAACATGTGTGTGAGTATGTACGTGTGTGAGAGATTCTGTCTACCTGTGTATCTATAAATCTGGATATACTAACAGAGAGATTTTCTAGTAAGAAGCCTTTTCTATAGGAAATGTTTACCTGACTGCCCAAGAGGATGTGGTTATGATTACTCACTAATCCTTTCTCCCTGGAAGGGGGTGAACTCTTCCAGCAGAGAAAGTGTCCCTACAGGTGAAGTTTTCATCACAGTCTCCGAACTCTTTCCTTCTATCCCCCACTTCTGTCCCCAGTCTTTGCTTGTGGACCCCCTGTGGATCCCCGCCTGTTTGCTGGCTGGGCTCCCTGACTTCCTCTGCATCGTTTCAGTTTCCAAGCATTACAGTACAAGCTTGCCTCCCTCACTGAAAAGTTTGCTGCCACTGAATCTCCTGTGCAGTGGTCTCTCCGGTGCACCGTGGGCTGCATTCTTCCTCTCATGGCGCCTGTGCAGTGGTCTCTCCGGTGCACCGTGGGCTGCATTCTTCCTCTCATGGCGCCTGTGCAGGTATTAGGCCTCGAAGTCCTGTGATCAACTACTCCTTATCTGCTTGGCCACAAGTCAGGGTCACAGTCACCGTCTCTCTCAAAGATCCTGTCCGTGGTTGCACTGGCCATGCTGCCCAGTTGCTACTGCTGACTAGTTGCCCATTTACACTTCATGGCCATTACTAGTCTCATCATGAATTTATGGTCTGACAGACTCCCACTGGCTGTCTTGACCACATGTTTTTTTAGTCTGCTGTTGTCCAGGAAGGCACTCATTATTATGAGCCCTTTTAAGGACCTGGGGGAAATGGTTTCTAGGATAGGAGGTCTTTCTTCTTGAAAACAAGAGAAGTGCTCTCTTTACGTTCCATTCTGTTTTTACTTCAGAAACTTATCTATCTGGCTGACAGAAGGTTAATTCCTACATACATCAAAGGCCATATGCTTTCTAACCCCAGAGCACATTTTAAATCCCTTAATTTATATTCCTTCCTCCATGTGTGGAACATACATGCTTTCTCTCCCTCTCCCGCTGCCTCTCCCACACTCCTAAACTGGGGGTCAGACTCTCTGGTCTCGAATCTAACACTGCCGTATTTCCTATATAATGTTAGACAAATCAATTCATTGCTTTCAATAGCTGTTAGAGTAAATCCAAGCTCGCTACCTTGCCAAATTCATTAGTTTTTTCTGAGGCTTAAATGAGGAAGCAACTTCATTCATTTGCTGTTTATTCAGCCTTTACTATTTATCAGGTGCAGGACTCGATTAAGGGGTACATTAATGAAGAGGACAAACAGGGTCCCTGCCCTCATGGCACTGGCTGGCATTAGGGTTGGGAAGACAGATATTAGAGGAGGAAACAAGTTATTACATGTTGTGGTAGGTGCTTTGAAGGAAGTGGTGAGAAGGACAGCGGAAGAGATCCTGAGGTGGGGCTGTGAGGAAAAGCCTCCCTGAGGAAGTGATCCTTGAGGTCATAACATCTGAGAGGAAGCCTACCATATCCGGGCACACGGGAGTACTTCGTGAGCTGTGAGAGGTCACCCAATGAGTAGCAGCCCCTCCAGGCCCCTGTGCAGCAGGGAAGTTAGAAAACAACACCATTTTCCAATTGCTGGAGCTATGACCTTACAGTAATCTCTGTCCTTTCTTACGAACCTCCGTATTTTTCATCCAAATCGTTTATCTCTTCCTCCTCTTCTGTTTCTGGTTTGTGCCGGCCTGATCTAGGCGCTTGCTGTGTGTCCCCTGTGTGTGATGCTGTCTTCCTTGTGCCCACTCTCAGGCTTCCCGGCACCATTGGCATCCTGCCTTCCTGCGGCTGTCACCTGCTGCTCACTCCAAAGCCCCCTGCACTGGGTTCCCTGTCTGAGAACTCTGTTTCTAAAACCTTCCTGAGGGTTTCCTCTGTTGCCTCATTTTCTGGCTGAACTACCTATCCTTCATAATGTAAGCAACTTCTGATACCTCCAGAAAGGGAATATTTCCAGGTTAATCTGACTGGACCTGGCTGGCACGGTGCCCAGCACATAGCTGGCTCTCAATAAATCTTTACTGGATAATGAGTGAATGAACTGACTCTCCTAGCTGTACTCAGTCTATCTATAGGATAAAGTGGTTTTTCCTGAATCACATGTGTATTCTTTCCTCACATGTAAAATGCATGTAAAAACCTTTATCTTCTGCTGTGTTGGATATCAAAATCTTACCTCTTATTCACAAGATTTTTATTTTAACTCTACTCTGTTTGCTGTACATGTGGAACTGTCGTTGATCCCAGAGACACCTGGAGTGTTGACAGTGTCTCTGAGATTCTTCTGTACGGTGCATAGCCGCAGGCACGTAGCACTTAGTATGCAAATGTTTATTTACTAATGATAATAACAGTCACTGAGATTTCCTGTTGCTTTGGTTTTTATTTTCAGCCTCCTGAATAATCAGTTGTATTCTTTCAGATTAAGCAGAAACTGTCAAAGAAAAATCTTTGTACTAAGGAAGTTGTCGTATTTTCAGAGTTAGGTAGAAAGTTAAAGCAGTGTTTCATTTGAAGAAAATTTTCAAATATGTCCAGAGTTTGGTTTTAGCCACTTCATGTGATATTATTTATCACCAATGGCAATAATAATTTAGTCTCAAACAGCTCTTGAAGAGTTTTCAAAAACAAGTGGAATATTCATTTTTTATAGGTATAGAGGTATATTTAGACTCATCGCTGCCAACTTGTTTCCAGAATTATTTCTTTTTTTTTTTTTTTTTAAAGATTTTATTTTTTTCATTTTTCTCCCCAAAGCCCCCTGGTACATAGTTGTATATTCTTCGTTGTGGGTCCTTCTAGTTGTGGCATATGGGACGCTGCCTCAGCGTGGTCTGATGAGCAGTGCCATGTCCGTGCCCAGGATTCAAACCAATGAAACACTGGGCCGCCTGCAGTGGAGCTCATGAACTTAACCACTCGGCCACGGGGCCAGCCCCTCCAGAGTTATTTCTTAAGTGTTCTTAAGTATTCACTTAAAAGAAATAAAAATCTCATTGTCTTGTGTCAGAGGTAACTTATAAATGATCCTTCTGCGTTGGGCGTTCTCTGTTTATAGTTCTAAAATGTTTAAATAATACCAAAAATAGAGTCTCACTGGTTTTTTGTTGCTTATGTTATATTCTTTAATTCAAGAAATCCTACATAATTTAAACTGTAATTTTTATTTAGACTAATAAAAAGTTCTGACCCATGTGATCAGGAACAACTTCAAAACAGCAGCTCAGTATTTATGAATTTGCATTTGAGACCCAATGGGATATAACTGTAAAGTAATGGGACCATCTTTCAAACAGACTTGCTGGGAGTTACATATCCAGGAGGCCCGTGTCCCCTTCACAGCAGTCACTTGTGAAAGCGGCATATTTATTCCAGTAATGCTGCCATAGCTTAAAATGTTGTGGAATGCCTCTTTTAAAACTACCTCTGAGCTGCTAAGAAATACTAAAGAGTAAAATGACATATTACTTTGAATATGTTGAATTGTGGCAGAGGTGAATTTGATTTGGTGAGTAGTCAGAAATCACCGCAGGACCAAGTATGATGAATAAAATTGGGAGTGTTGTTTGGAGTCACAATTGGATGTAAGATAACAAGGTGGGTTTTCTTGAATGACACATAAACTGACTCTTCAAACTGATTATCAAGGAGGAATTCCAGAACCTTGGACCTTGGAGTAAATGTATAAGCTCCCAAGGTAGCTACTATGAAGAACAATACACATTTAGGAAAAAGAAAGAAAAATGTGTGTATGTTTGCAAAATAAAATCAGTTTTATTACTTTATAGACATACTTTGTAGATGAAAAAAATACTCCTATCATGGAACTCTTTATAAGCAAACTTCTGAATGTAAGTAGAATTTCTGTCTCACTCTTTCCTAAGCCTGTTGAGAAATCTGAATTTCTAATAATGACTTATTCTGAATCTTCAGCTTTAAAAAAAATAAGGTTTACCATTTAAAAAGTGAATGCTTTGGGGTTTCACTTCACTTTTTTCCAATTGGCTTGTTACCTCTGCTTTTCAGTTTTTTATTTAGTGTATCCATCTTTGTTCACTCTCAAAATCTATTTTCTCACTTTAAAAATATCACCAAGTACTTCAACCCAGGTAGAAAATAGAGTCTAAACTGAGGGTTATTAACTGTCCCATAGTGTTTTAAGCTCATTTTTGTTATTAGTAATGATCAGATGCCTTTCCTTTTTAAAGTGGGACCCTATTATCTTGGTGAATAAGAACATCAAATTACAAGAAGAGAAGGCTCAAAGATTTTGTAAAAATAAATACTGTCAACTTTGGGGCTCCTATTATGTTTTTCATTTCTACTAATAAAAGCTTTAAAAACAGATTTCAACCCAGTGGCTGGCCCATGTTTCTCGAATGTAGACTCCAGGGGGACTCATGCAGGGCGCATGGGAGCAGAGCTGGTGCATCCCTCTTCATCACGGCTTTCCCAAATGCATTCCACCACATCCATCTTCAGCCAGCCAGCCAGGCCCCTATTTCTTCACTGCTAAGTTGAAATAATAAAAAGTAAAATGGAGCGTGGAAGGCAGAGAAAATTATCCTTTTGCAAAGAGGCTAAGACAGCTAAATTGTGACACAATTTAAACTGTTCAAATTCGACAAGTTTGATTGGAAAATTATGTGACCCGTGTAGTTAGAGATCAAAATGGTCACTAGTTTACAGTTTTAAAAAGTCATAATGTGGTGTTTTTACCGAAGATTGATAGAACATTATTTTATTCTGCCTGGTAGTAACGGTTGCACAAATGGCTATTGTTTTGCAGTTTGGTGATTTAAATGCTGTGTCTCCTGGAAATCTGGATAAAGGTAAGCACTGAAAGTAATGTACATTTTTAAGAACTTTTGTTGACTAAGAAATTCTCCTATAGAAAACTGTGGTTTAGTGTGTGTGTCTACAGCACTCTGATTTTGTGGAAATGGCATAGTCCTAGATGAATATGACAGTTACGTCTTTTGGAATCCTTCATTATTTCTCCATTTCTATGCCTTCCTTATGTGAGGTATACTAGATGCAAGAATTAAATTTAAATGCAGTTCCAAGCTCTTCTTCACTGTTTGCCTGCAGTTTATTACAAGTAACAAGAAATTATTTCTGCCCATCACCAGAGTCCTGGAGAAAAGTGATCAAATTGGGCCACATATTTTTATTCAAGGCCCTCTTGGCAAGAAAAAAGATTCCTCAGCCTACCTACCTCATCAATTCACACTTCTCAGTGGAGAAAGAACTCAGAGATAGCAATGAAGTTTACTGTAAAAGCAACATCAATAGTGGGATAGATAAAAAGGATAACGTATATAATTCTTAACTTTTAATACCACCCTTGCCACTCTAATATAAGAACATGACATATATTCCTGAAGAAAATGGTGATCTACAAAACTCCACAGTAAGAGGAATAGGGCTTGGGAGGAGTGAGGTTGGAATAGCACACACAGACAGAAACAATCCTGATAAAATACCAGCTCAGTTTAAAATAACGAGCACTGCAGAAAATATAACCCTTTCTTAAAAAAAAAAAACACCAAAAAAGTGAAGCTATCTTGAGGTTTTTAAGCACTGAGTTCTGGAGGGAGGGACAAAATGCACAGACTGGAGAAAGCTACACAATTAGCCCTTCTGGGACAGAGCCAAAGCCAGAGGGGAAACTGAGGCAAGAGGAAGTGCTTGGGGAATTGGTACATGAGGTGCACTGTTCTCTGGAGTGTCTTGTACTAGGGTACTCGGTGGTCAGCTTCTGTGCCTCCTTGGTGGTGGAAATCATTGATGTGCTGGGAAAGTCCTGAATCAGCATCACCCCCACATTAAACTCCTGTCAGTCTCTATTTACCAATTGTGCCTGTGTTTAATTCCTGTTTTAGTAATATGCGTAATAGCAAAACAGGAAAAGTAGAAAATGGTAGCCCAAAAATATTGTTGCTGCACATATATACTCTATAGGAGCAACCAAATAACAGTCAAAAAGTTAATCAGTGATGATACTAATTTGTAATTTCAGAGCAAGCAAGGTGGCACTTGAAACCCATGTCCCACATGAGGCACTGACACCAAAGCCTCCTAACCCAAATTTGGGTCTTTCATCCCTGCGTGCCCAGCAGGAGTGTTGCTACTTGGCCAAACACTGAATGGCAGCCAGTCTTTGTAAAGTGCTGAACCAAAACAGAGCTTCAGGAAACTCCAGTAGCACCTAACTTTAGTTTTTGTGCACCAGATTTCCCTCACCTCGAGTAGATCTCTAGGAAATATCTTTGAGTCTTTCTAGGAGCATCAGATATCTATGGAATTGCATTAATTTGCCCTTGGGAACTGGAGAAAGGGCTTGCTTTTATGGATTGCCCCCTAACCGTCCAGAGGAGCCCTGCCACCCACGAGCGGACCTAAAGAGAAGTGGCCTGAAGCACTTAGGTTGGTTTGTTCAGTCCATTGTCCCATTGTGCTTCCACCCACAGCAGGGGAGCTGAAAGGACTTTCTCCACTCTCTCTCCACTCGCCCACCTGCTTGAAATGATGTTTTTCCTTTGAGTGCTGCCTCTTTTATGTTCACACTGTTTCTCAGGCACAGAAACGTTGGTAGAGAGGGAGCCGAGAGCAGTTTAATTTTTCTTCACCTTCTTGATGTGGCCCTACTGGCTTCTTCACGCCCAGACCTGATGCTTCTTGAAATGTAGCCAAACTGGCATATGCAGGGCCGAATGCATGAAATCTTCAAGAGTGTTTTGTGGGCTGTTTCCACAAAATGAGAATTTTAATTTTTTTCCTGACAATAAAATATTAGCTCTATATAAAAATTTCAGTAATACAGAGAATTAGAAACTATAGAAAGTGAAACTTCGTAGTCACAACCCTAAGAGACTACCACCATGAAGAATTTAGTGTGAGCATCCTTCCAGACATTTTTTTTATCCTACCTTCTTGATGAAGCAGATGTCTTCCAAGTGCATCTCTCTCCCTGTGGCCCACCAGCCCTTTGAATATGCTTGTCCTGACAAACTCTAATGTTATCATCAAGACCATTTTCCAGAGGCAAAAAGATAACCAGATAAAGTAGATGAGCCAGCACAATTTTTGCCTCGTCTAAGAGCATTCCGTGTTTGTCAATAATAATGCATTACAAACATCATTTCTAGTCAATACATCTAATCTCAGCCTTTTTAATCACACATACCATTTCTCAGGAGATGTCACTCCTGGCAGCTGCTCACTACACAGCTGTATGTGGAGGCCCTGGTACTTCTCACTTTTCTCTGGAACCATCTTTGCCCAAATTGATAATAAGAAAAGAAAAGTCAAGAGGCCCATTTGTGTGGAGAGCTGCATTAGCAGGAACTTCTGCTGTAGGTGTGCCCCAAAGGGGAAAACTAGACTCAGTGCTCCTTAGAAAGATTCCAACTTAATCTGACTGATGAGATGCTTGTTACACACCCACTGTACGTGATATGCCATAGAAGAGGATATAGTGGAGGTCTGATTCCCGTTTATATAAGTCACTGTCACGTCAGAAATCTAACAATAAGTAGAGACATATTTTAGTTATAGATGAGGTATTTGATGTAATTATACGTTTATCCTTTTTTTGGTAAACAATAAAACATGCTGAAGTAGAAAGATTTTTAAGGCAGAAATATATTCCTCCTTGTTTAAAAATTATCACTCCTGGAGAGGTATTCCCTGCACTCTTTTGAGGAGACTCTTGCAGAGGATAGGAGTAAAGCTGTGTGTGAGCATTTTCTCTCTCTCCTTTTGAATTTTAACAGTGCGTGCTGGAAAAAATTAAATAGTATTCCATTATAGTGACGTCTTAGTTAATACAAAATGTATTAAAATTTGGAGGTAACAGTGACTATTTAATACGTTTAATTTCCAGAAATGAATACTAGCTATTAACAGTGAGTATCAGTGTTGCCAGAAATGAAAATTCATCGTGCATTTTTAATCTGATACTACTGCCTCAGTCTTCATAATGTTTTTGTAATAAAAATTAAAGGCCTATTTAGCGTTACAATCTGCAGCATTCATGTGCACCAAAAAGTCTGTCGAGCAGCCCCTGCTTATACATGCTGTGGCTGTTGTGTGAACCAACATGGGTCTCACCGACATTAACATCAGCACAGAAGAAATTTATGTCTAGTGTAGAGTTTTGGAGGAGACTGAAAATTTTTTCTTTCTTTTTTCTTAGTTAGCATTTTTCAGTACAATACATTCCCCAAAAGCCAGCACCATGTACCAAAGTGACTACTTTCTGATGACACAAATTATGCCGATACTTAGGAAATTCTAAAGGTCTTCTTAAAAGAAGTTAAAGATATCAATCACAAACTAGCCAAAAATAAATTACCTTTGCTATGTTTGAAAGAATTGTAGATGCTTTAATAGAGCACTGACACAAGTAAAAGCTGCTGAAAGGAAAACCTACAAGCTTTGTCCCCCGACAAGAACGAAGAAGTTGCTTTCTTAATGTATTGTATTAGTGTTTCTAAAGCATGTGTTGATTGCTGTTTTCCAGTTTGTCTTCTGGTAATAATCTTGATGGTTTTTGTTTGTGCAGATGAAGGCAGTGAAGTGGAAAGTGAAATGGATGAAGAACTAGATGACTCTTCAGAGCCTCAAGCCAAAAGAGAGAAGACCGAGCTGACCCCGGCGTTTCCAGTGGGCTGTATGCAGCCTGTTCTGGAGAGCAGTGTGCAGCCAAGCCTCCTGAATCCCATTCACAGCGAGCACATCGTCACGAGTACTCAGACTATCAGACAGTGCAGCGCCACAGGAAATACCTACACTGCAGTCTAAAGAATATTAAAGCATATTTTTCCAGCTAACGTTAACCCTGTTGATATTGGGCTTAAGTTGAAAATTTAATAAGCCTGAAGGTCGACTGTTGTCAAATTCTATCTGTGCTGAACATTACCTTTTTGGAGTTGTGAAATGGAATGGGTGTATGTATTTTGCCAGGTCTTTTTTTTTTTTTTAACATAAACAAATTATTTGCCTCTTAATAATGTTCCCCCCCCCTTAGTTTCAGGTGTCAAGAAGGATTTTTACAACACTTAATGTCGATGTTTTTGTTTTCTTATAATTAAAAAGTAATTTACTTTTTTTGTAGCTTAAAATATTTTATTGTTGATTGTTAGTCTTGGTGTATGATTTCATGTGTAAGTTTTTAATTAGATGCACTTCTGTGAAATATCAAAAGAAATGAATTTCTTTGATTTACACTGGAGGCATGCCCATTTGGCAGCAGATGCATCCAATTTGCTTTTGAAAGGTGCTTTTCATTGGACAGAACCACAAGACACTATTTTGATACCATTTTGGAGTATGGAGAGAATACAGAGCATTTTTATTATAGTGCTAGAGGGTTGGGAAGGCCATCTATTTTTCTCTGAAGAAAAATTGAGCTGTGCATTTATCAGTTCAGAGTAAATGACAGAATTGCAAGAGATTATGCTAATATGTACATAATTTGTGTACATAATTATTAAACCATGTTAATGCAAGCTTCCGTTAAACATTGAATTTTAACTGTTATTTACTTACCAATTCCTCTGTTTGAAGACTACTGATTCTGTATTTGGGACCACTGCACAGATGCATTCTGCTGTTGAGTGGGGCTGTTATAGTAGATACTGAAGCTGAAAAAATGACTTGACTTTTTTTTTTTTTAAGTGTACATGCTACTTATGCTGAGCTGGACATACAGGAAACCATTCCATTTGGATGACTTTCTTTTATTCCAGGTCTTTTTCCTAATAGTAGTTCAATATGCTGCTATTATAAAAGAAAATTTATAGAATGCAAGGAATGTAGCAACCTGCATATCGTTATTTCCTTCAAAAATATTTCCTGGTTTCTAAAGTAAGTGGATTTAAATTTTAAACAGAACCTGAAGGCAGTGTAACTGGCACACCGCTCTGTTGCTTATCCCCGATTCTGTAGGATTTGGATAGGTGGCTGGATGGACCCGTGCCATTGAAGAATGTACATCAGGGATCATCGTACCTCGGCTATTACATGGTGCCTTAAAACAGAACTGAAGCTAAGGTTTAGTAAGGCTTATTTTGTTCATGTGAATTCCTCTTCAATCCATTTGACAAGGTGTGCCTGTCATTTTCAGATTCCCGAAGTAAGGACAGGTTACATGTTCTTCAAAGGAAATTGAGGGCAAACAAAGCGAAACAAAAAGATGAAAATCACTTCCCCTCTTTGAGTGACTGCGAACCTATTTTTTGTGCTTAGAGCTAATATTACTTGATTACAAACCAGATTGCTTAAGGGTGTGGAATAGCAGGCTAGTTTTAATTACCAACTTGTTACATAAAATCATGTATGTTTTAGACCATTCTTATCTAGTTATATTTAAGAAAGTTAACAAAATAAGCAGGTACTTATCGAAGTGCATCTTTTCAGTCTAAATGTTGTCTGTGTGTCTCGGTGTCTGTGTGTCCACATGCACACACGAGTGCCTGTGGGCAGGAGTCAGCTACAAAGTCCGACGGTGAGATCCTAGAGAGGATACACCCATCCCCGTTTTAATTTACATGAAAAGCCAAGGTTCTTTTAAGCACTCAAATTATTAACAAAAACCAGGCACATCCATTCATTTAAATAGTCGTAAAATAAAAGCTAATCAGCAAAAATAAATACAGAAGCCAAAAAAAAGGGAAAGCACAAAATGATTTACAGATTATTAATGAGGCCTATATTAGACTCAAGATGTTTATCTTTCCGGTTTTATTGGGGTGAGGGGTGGGGGGGTGGAAAGAAGAGGGCGAGCCAGTCTGTGAAGTTAAAAATACCAAATGGCTTATTGGGTGATATGCAGGATACTTCAACTGCTGTTGCTTGATTGCCTTAGACTGCTCAAATAACTAAGATCAACAGAGTTTCTTAAACTTTGAATGTTTTAGATGTAATTTTTAAAATTGATTCAAATTTTGTATTATACAATTCATTCATATATTTGAAAGTCGTCACTAGCATCCTAGCATAACCTTCATATCATTTAAATGATTATCCCCCTTTTTGCTCCCAAAAGGCGATGAATTTGCACCATCACACACAAAAAAAGGCAAACAAACAAAACACCTTAAGCTGCGAAGACCATGTATCTACTTCATTGTGCATTAGGACACGTTTACAGGTAAAATTAAAATCAGAAAGTGGGAAAAACACTCTTCATTCTGACTCTCAATTTTTTCACTTGCCTATCCCTGTCCACCACCCCCAGAACTATACTGTATCTGTATTGGACCAAATGTATTTGCTGGTTTCATCTTGTTTATTGAACGATTTTAAATGTATTTATTATCACTGTTTAATGTTGGATATATTTGTATCGTTAGAGGAATCTGATAATAATGGGCAAATTTAGATTGATGAAAGTTAGGGATTGGGGACCCTCCAGGATTCAACATTTCTTCCAATTGTTCGTGGTTTGTTCTAAATTAGGACAGATTAGGAGTTAAATATTGTTACATTTCAACTTGACTCACTAAAAATCTTCTGATCTCCTTTATGAACACAGTTAGGAACGTTAGTTCTTTGTGACGAGGGTAGATAGTTCTGACTGACAGAAAAAAATAACAGCTACGATCTATGCTACTTGCAGTTCTTTGTAATCCACAGTAAGACACATGTGCGTATCCAGTCACACACAAACATCCTAGCTGATTTTGAGTTTGAGTTGTAAAATATATTAGAAAATAAAAACATAATTTATACATTTGAGCAAATTGGAGCAATCACATTTATTGCATTTATTGAACATTTTCTTTCCATTTTTTTCATTCATTGAAACTGTGACTTTTCTAAATCACATTAGACACCAATACTCTCAGAGTAAATTTATTGACAAGTGACAAGCACACATTTTAAGGACTTATTAATATTTCTTGGCAGTGTAATCAAACACTTGTCATGAAAAATATCTGCATAGACCAAGTACTACACTTTGAGTGAGGAAAAATGTAAGGAAGGTATGTTGGCTATTTTTAATTTTCAGAAAGATATTTCCATGTAGTAGGATTGAGTATCGTGGGCATAGTTTGATCTTCACATACACTTTGAGAATCATACCCAAAAGATTTGCATTCGTGAAGCCAGGGAACAATAGGGTGAAATGGGTGAACCATCTCCTTGGAACACAGGGCCCAAATTTTAAAATTTTTCTTTGAGTATCAAGTGGCTGGTCACTTTTTTCAGGATTCTCATCCAAACTGTGTTTGGACTGACTGTATAAGTCTTACTGCCTTTTCAGAAATCTGCTTTCCTTTTTGTGCTTTTTCTTGTACTGTATAGCACGGTTCATGCACCTCTCTTTAGATGGTGTACTTTAAAAACAAAAGTAAATTTTAGAAAATGGTTTTAACACTGCATACCTAAAATTAGTGTGCAACATTGACTGCCTTTGATTTGTAGTAGACGAGTAAAAATGAGCGCGTTCTTGTAGAATGCTGTCAGAGTCGTTCAGGAATGAATACGGTTTCGTGACCGTAATCAGGAACCTTTGTACATGAATGCACTCTCGAGAAGTGCTAAACGTGATGCATTTTCAAATTTTAAAAAAATTCTTCATATGATATATTTGAAATGTCTAAAATAATGCTGTGCTTGAAACATTAGTGTAAAAGGAAGAAAATGTGTGTCACTGTGATGTTGGTCCTCCCTGTGTGGACACAAGTAGAAAGTAAAAAACTTCGGCAAGTCACCTTTGTGTACAACTTGAGGCAGTGGTTAGGTACAACAAATTGACCTTTGTTATAACTTCCCCTCCCCCGAATCCTTGGTGAGAAAATAACAGCCATTGAAACATTGCAATCAGAACTGGTGATTTGTATGAATCCCATCAGAACATGGGGGAGAGGGGTTGACATGCAGTGCTATTGACAATTGGGCTTGTCACTAGATCAGATCAACCTCCATGTATATGGTTAGAACAGATCAATTAATGGAATCCTAGTATTTCTGCAAGTTTGGTGATTTTTTTAAAAACCGGAATAGAAGCATTAATTCAGTGCTTTGTTCTAGTATTAGAAAACCCCTTTGATGTAATGCCTTGTATTAACCCTTTGAGCATTGTAAGATATACAATGGGGGACAAAAGCCTTTCAGATCATTTATTTAGACTTAGACCGGTAAAATATACTCTATATCCAAATGTCTAATTATGCTGTTTTTTTAAAGGGGGGGTAGGAAGAGAAAGTGTTTCCACGCTGGACACTTGCATTTTATATACAACTCTTAATTTTCTTCAAGAGGGCTTGATATATTTATTCCCAAATATTCACTGCCATCTAAGTAAGTGTGCTGTTTACAGAAAAAAACAAATCAACTTTTCTAGCATCACATCATGACTCTAGAAAAGGAGGACAAACACATGGGCCTGTAGACCCATGTCATAACTGATCTGCACATTGAAAGTACCTAGATTGCCTTTAAAAGGTATGATAAAGAAAGGGTTACATTTCTTTCTCTTTTTTTTTTTCCAAAACAAAACAAAAGATCTCGTTTATTTAGCTTTAGAAAGTACAATTGTAAGTGAAGCCTTAGGAAGAAACGAGTTCAAGTGGATAAAGAAAAGCTGAACTCTTCGAGGGCAGGTAAGCTATCTGGAGTTAGATCTCTCATCAAATACTGTTTGGGAATTTCATACAGGGCATAATTTTATCTATGCTCCAAAACTTTAATACTTTGTCAAAAAATTCTACATTGATAGAATGGAGAGCAAAGCACTTGATTTTAAGCTCATCTGTCAGGAGATGCTATGACTACTGCTTCTGATACCTGTAAATGCCAGTCTGCTGACACAATTGCTGACTTTGCTCAAGGGACGCTCTCCGAGCATTGACCCCTCTGTCCCCTGCGTGATGGAACAGGAGAGCAGTGTCATCTGCAGATGCGCTTGCGCTGCCCTGGCCCGGCGCTCGTGAGAGTGTAACCTATTCCGATGTCTGGTGAAAGGACATCCATAGCATAGTGCAAGTTTGCCGTCAACGTTGCTTTTTTTAGGCAGTTTAGGAAGTCAAACCATGCAAATTACTCATGTGTTAACATGCAATACTCAAAGGGTTTTAATTTAACTCTCTTCTTTTGAATTCTTCATGATGATTTACTGTAAATGCTTCTCAGTTTGCATGCCTTGATCATTGCTGCTAGTGATTTTATGTGCCAGTAGACCTGAGTTTAGTTTACCAATTTTACTTAAATAGTAAAAGCCACTTACAAAGTGACTGCCTAGGATTTTTTTTCTTTTGTTTGAAGTAATTGGTAATACGTCTTATTTTCAGAAACGTGTTTTGTCTCTTCTTTCATTTGGTTCTGGTATTTGATTCTTTTCTTTCCCCTCTTTCCTTTGTTTTTTAAATAAATTATGATCTTGGAATTGGAAGCCCTGAGTAATGAAATCTTTGGTAAGAATTGTTCATGTAGCTCAATAATGAGGACCACAAATCTTTGTTAGAAGAATTATGATTCTGGGGAGGAAAGAAGAAAAGAAAAACTCCCATTGACTGCTGATAACCAAGTAAATTTTTCCTTCAGTGAATTAATAGTTTTGAACAAATGATTGCTTTGTTTTAACCTGCTAAACACAATTTTAAACGACCCAATAAAGGAGGTATTGAATTGTATTCATTTAAAAAAACATCTTTTGTACCAAAGCAAATTTTTTTCTCTACTCATCTCCATCATCGATTGGGACCTATGGTGGTGACCAATGCATTGGTTACAGAAACTTAAGTGAGTGCCTTGAGAACACTTGGAAATTTGTGCCTGGGGTGGTAAACGTTTAATTAGGTTAATTGTAGTGCTTACCAATCAGTAATTCCACTATCACTCAGGGCTTTCGTACCTTCTAGGTAAAACTTCTTTCATTGTGTTTTTTTAAAATACTGTATTTTTTTTTAAGTGCCATCATTTAAATTTCACTTAGTAAGTGGCAGATTACATTATTCAGTCCCACAAGCACAGAAACATAGTAACACTAGGAGATATTGGAACATTTATTTTACAATCGACTGAATATATTATGTAAATGAGGTAAGCAACTTTTGTAGAGATTGTATGTGTGAGATAATGTAATGTTCTTTTCCAGTTTTTGGACTACAGTTGAATAAACTTTTTAATTATTTAAAAACATCTTTACCGAATAACATGTGATGGTTTTTTGTATAATGTATTTGATTTTGTAAATACGTATTTCCTGATGTGATTTTTGTGAGAAATGCTAAATCTTTTAGTATATCATGTCCTCTCAAAATTGGCAGGAGCTAAATAATAGTTTGTGGGCGATTTGTATTGTGTACTGTACAATAACTGGGGAACTTTTATAATTATAAAAATATATATTAACTTTTAGTGTGTTGTTTAAACAAATGACTGGAACATACTAAAGATATTAGTAGGATTTTTCTGAATATTTCAGACTTGAACTCAGGCTAGCTTTCTTGTGTTTTTCAAAACAAAATGGTGTCTTGTCTTTTAAAATCAATAAATTTGTTTCCTTGTTACAAATACATTTGAAATGGCTTGATTTTTTCCCCCTCAAATCATTGCCAGGAAGCTTATATTACACTGCCTCATCTAGAGGGTAGTCTCTTGTGCCATCCACTAGCGTAGAAACAAAATTAAGTTGTTTTCCTCTTTTGTGTCAAATGAAATTGGCAATATTTACACATGAACAGCACAAAAAGAGAAAACAAAATTATAAGCCCAGCAGGGTACAAATCTTACCCTCAAAGAAAATTAGTGATTGAGTGCTGTTTAATTTCAGAAGCTGTCAACATTTCCATTGTAAATCCAGATTTTTGGATGTTCATAATGTGTTTGTTTTAAGTCACTTCACATTGATATTTGGCGCCCAAGTTTCTTGCTTAGATTGAAATAGCTTATTAAAATTTGTTTTAATACACTTAAGAAAATATCCTGCCCCAATTTTTTCTTCTTTAAATAATGTAGTTACATACAGGAAAATTCACCCTTTTTACTGTACATTTTGTGAGTTTTGACAAACACAGTCATGTAAGCACCACTGCAATCAAGTTTAAACATTTTTCTACCTTGCAGATATTTAATTTTTTTCAAATCAGAGTATGTGTAGGGCCTCCTTCTAGAATGGGGAATAGCCGATTGATTTGGGCTCTCTTAAAAGATAGAAATGCAAGACAAAATACCTTTTGGGAATCTCCAGCATGGTCCTTTCACATCATAATAAAAAGTTATTTCTAAAACAAAAATATTGACATCTAAGCTCACAGAACCACCAAATTCATTCTGACTTATATGGACATTTAATCCAATGACACAGGAATGTAACAAATAATGTTATTTAATAAATAAATGAAAGGAAGGTAGACAGAATTATAGCAAATCTTAGAGACAATGCTAGGCCAGAAAGAAAATGAATCTGACAAATTTGGGCATTTTTATGTTGCAGCCATAGCCACTTGTGAGGTATTTTGAACTTTTTGTGCAAAAATATGGAGTTCCCAGTTTCTAACCTTATTTTTATACTTGATATCTCTTGGAAATCTGAGGCCTTTCAAATATATGCTGTAATTGGTGCATTTACTTCTTGGTTACGATATTCTTCCTGCCATGGAGTCTTAATCTTATTTCCTTGTCTTTTGTAACTTGGATATTTCAAGACGAACTCAGCCTGAGAAATGTAACTGGTTTTCATTAGCTGACTCAATCTACCAACTATTTTTTCTTCATTATGGTCTAAAAGTAACGCATGTAGAAATTTGTCATTTGCCGTTTGGCTGCAGCACAGACTTTCTTTTGTGAAACACCATAATTAGTAGTGTGGCTGCCATATTGTTGAGGATAATGTACTTTGAAATCAGGGGAAGGGAGCAAGAGGGCTCTCTTATCTGCCTCTGGGCCGCTTCTCTCTGAAGCAATGTCTGGCCCAGGAAGTGGATCCATTTACCTTACAGGAGCTGGGTGGCAAGCAGAGCATTTAGGTTGAGGGACCCTAGACACGGCAGCTTCCCTGTGCCGATGAGCCCTGTTTTGCATCAGCTCATTGCTAGCCTTGAGATTGGAAAGTATCCTATGCACGACTGGGAACACGGGAAGTTGTGTCTGAGTTGTCTGAACACAAATACATTGGTAATCAAAGTAAATAGAAGTGTACCATATACTGCAATTAAAAGGAAAAGATTGTCAAAAATTTTAAAATCATAAGGCATTTCTATACTATACAGAGTAGAGGGCTCAAAAAGTTTGAGAGCAAAAAGATAGGGAAAGAAATAAAATAGAAACACTAACTATGAAATACTTAGTGATAAATCTGTTAAAAGATGTGCAAGGCAAACGTTGAAAACTACAAAACACTGCTAGAGGAAATTAAAGACTTAAATGGAGAGATATGCTGTGTTCATGGGGCATAAAACTCAATATTGTTAAGATATTAATTCTCCCCAGTTTGATCTATAGATCCAACACAATCCTAATCAGAATCCCAGAAAGCTTTTAATAGGAAATGACGTTGACTTTACAATTCATATGGAAATGCAAAGGATCTATGATAGCTAAAACAGGTTTGAAAAAGAAGAACCAAGTTGGAGAATGACCAATACCTGAATTCAAAGCTCTTATAAAACTACAGTAATCAAGAGAGTGTGGCACTGGCATCAAGATAGATTAATGGAATCTGTCAAATAGATCAATGGAACAGAATAAAGAGTGCAGAAAGGGACCGACACGTTTATGGACCACTGATTTTTGACAAATGGGCCAAAGCAATTTAGTGGAAAAGGATGGTCTTTCAAAAAATGGTGCTGGAAAAATTAGATATCCATATGTGAAAAAAAAAGAACTTTGATCTTTACCTCACACCATGTACAAAAATTAAATGGATCACAAACCTAATTATAAAACTAAACACTATAAAACCTTAAGAAGAAAACAGGAAAAAGCTTTGAGATCTTGGGTCAGGCAGAGATTTCTTAGATATGACTCCAAGCATGATACACAAAAAATCAAACTGATAAACTGAGCTTCAGCAAAAACAAATTTTCTGCTCTTCAAAAGACGCTGCTAAGGGAATGAAAAGACAAGTCATATATTGGGAAACGATTTTCCCTGGGTCTCTCAGTTTTCTGCATGCGTTTTGAGCAAATACATTAACCACTTTTGTTCTGGACTATTTTTTCAAAGATATCTATGTAGCAAAAAGCCTTGGAAGATAGAGATAAAGGTTCCCTCTGGGATAAAGGGCACATTTGTTTCCTGACCGGTATAATAAAGATAATGACTTTTCCAGGGCAAAGGTGGGTTTGCTAGCAGACCTCTTTAAATGACTGGGGTTTCCTATGCTTGGGGTTTCTCAGCTGTGACACGAACCCACTATGTGTGTGATCCCTACCTGGGCCTTTCCACAACCCTCATGGATCTGGGGGGCGGGGGCGTCGAGGGAGCAATTGAAACAGATGCGAATATGAAGCTCCAAAGTCCTTTTTCTCCAACCCAGGAGCCTCTTGTCTCCTGCCAGTACCTTTGGAACCCTGGTAGGCTCACTTGTTAGTTTGCCAGCAGGATAAAATATCAGACCCTTCACAGTTCTTGACACCACAGACTAGGAGAAAATATTTACAAATCCTATTTCTGATAAAGGACTTGTATCCAAAAGATATAAAGACTCTCAAAACTCACGGTTTTGAAGTGTATGTGTATAGCGCTAACCACTTTTATCACTAAATATGTGGATGAATATTAACTTAATGTCTGTCCCCCTCTATAATTCCAAACTCCATGACTTCAGGGACCTTTAATTAGACTTCAGGTCTTTAATTAGAAGCCTGCCCCTCAGGCTGCAGCTATGCCGGTAAGCAATTAGGCCACTCTCACAGAAAGACTGAGCTCCTAGGTCTGTGGCCTTTTGCTGTGCCCTGGGGGTGGCAGCTGTGTAAGAACTCTTTCTGCATTGGTTACAGTCCTGTAAGCCCCACTGGCAACCAGAGCCAGGCCATGTAGAGGTGTCCCCCGGAGGCAACTGCAAAAATCCGGGCACGAGACAAGGAAGGGTATAAGCTCCTTTCTGGGTGATGCCTGCAAGCTGGAGCAAGGCAGAAGGAGTGGGGAAAGATTGCATCCACTGGCCTCCATCCCTGAGAGCCCAGTAGGCCCCTAGGTGTGTGCCACACCAGAAGCCTGCCCCAGGCCAAAGCTCCTGGACAAGCAAATAGGCTTCTTTCTCAGAAAGACTGGGTGTGTTTCATCTGCTGTCTGTGCAGTGTCCTGGGGGTCGTAGCCTGCCAAGAACCAACTCTCGGATTCCTACCATCCCCTGGGCCGAGGAAAACAAGCTCCCCAGGCCTCCAGAGCCAGGTGCTCAAGGGTCGTCCCCTGGGCAGCAGCCACAAAAAGGCAGGCACCAGATGACTGTAAAAGCTCCCTTCTGGGAGATACTGGCTCTCTGGAGTGTGACAGAGGGAGACCACAACGATGGCGTCCACCAGGGAGGAAAAAAGAAAGACCTCGAGTTAAAAAAAAAAAAAAAACAACACGAAAAGATGGCGCCCGCCGGCTAGAGCAAGGCAGATGGAGAATGCCAGGAACCACCAGTCTCTGTCCCTGGAGAGTGTTCCAGCAGGTTCCTAGACGTGTGTGTTCTGACATGCCTGCCCCTCAGGCTGATGCTTTAAAATGAGCCTTTTTCAATTCATGTCTGGGCGCCGTTGGCTGCTTCTGCACTGGGCCTGGGCGGGTGGGTCCGAGCCTCCGCATCCGTTAAGAGCCTTTCTCAGTTTTCCTGTAGCCTGTGGGTCTCAAGGACGGGATTCTGTTGGTTTTCAAATATTTTAGATGTTTTGGAGGCTTGTCTCTCAGGTGCAGGTCTTAAAAGTTGGGGTGCGGGATGTGGGGTACCAACCCTTCACTCGCCGGGAAGCTCCAGGTTTTGGGTTGCCTCCTGATTGTGAGTGGCTGCACGGGGAGTGGGGTTTATGGCGAGATTGTGTCCCAGCCTCTCCTACCCACTTCGATGTGGTTTTTTCCTCCTTTGCCTGATGTGTAGGAGTTGCTCAGCCAGACCTAAGTTTTTTGCAGAGGAAACTGCTCCTTATGTAGCTGTAGATTCGGTGTCTGTGGGAGGAGGCGAGTTCAAGATCCTCCTAGCTGCCATCTTGAGCCCAAACCCTAGGGACCCCCTAGTCTTGATCACTACAGAGTTCCCAGGGCTTGGCATGGTACTTGGTATATAGTGTGATCAACAAATATTTGTTGTATGAATTAAGGAACCAGTTCTCTCATGATTATACCTAATGATTATATTACTTAAGATAGACTGTTTCTGCTGTTACAAATAATTCTTAATGACTCCTCTTTAACACTTTTGTGCATTTATCCTATTTTTTCTTTACACATATATTCTCTGCACATATTTCTAGAAGCCAAATTTTGTGGCTAATACATTGCAAAACTTTTTTGGACCATGTTGCTGAACTCTACTGAGAGAACTTGAGCCAATTTATAATTCCTGCAATAGCTCCAAATCAAATCACTAGGAGC